ATAAACAATTCTAGGACCCCGTAATGATTTGGTAAACAGATATGCTAGTCTGGAACATTAGATTAAATGAAATCTTATTTTATTATTTTAATACAAAGAGATCATACAAGATATATACAAGAGACCTAAGCTATTTTAGGAAATACAATAACTCTATTTTATTTTAGGATCCCTTGATTTATGGGATTGTTCCTAATTGTTCAAATCTGTACAGATTTCAAATTTCCTAATTTATTCTTTCCTAAAATACTATTTGATTTCCCACACTCCCCCTCAAGCTGGTGAATAGGTGTTTTCCATTCCCAGCTTGGATACAATCTTCTCAAAATTGTTGCAGCTTAGTCCTTTGGTAAGAATGTCTGCAATTTGGTCTTGAGAGGACATATATGGAGTGCATATCAAGCCACTATCAAGCTTTTTTTTTATGACGTGTCTGTCTACTTCAATATGCTTTGTTTTATCATGCTGCACTGGTTGTGGTCTATGTTGATTGCTGACTTATTATCACAATAGAGCTTCATAGGTTCTTCCCATTTTATCGTCAAGTCTTCTAAGATGATTTTAAGCCATAACAACTCACATGTACCTTGTGCCATGGCTCGGAATTCCACTTCAGCACTGGACCGAGCCACTACACCCTGCTTTTTGCTTCTCCAAGTCACAAGATTTCCTCCAAGAAAGATGCAATATACTGTAGTTGACCTCCTATCTACAATTGACCCTGCATAATCAGCATCAGTATAGGCTTTAAGCTTCACATTACCATTCCTTTTGAATAAAATCCCTCTTCCTGGAGTTCCTTTAAGGTACTGTAAAATTCTGTGAGCTACTTGTAAATGGGTCTCCTTTAGGTTATGCATAAATTGGCTAATTAAACTCACTACATAGGCAATATCTGGCCTGGTATGCGATAAATATATAAGTTTGTCCACTAATCGCCGGTACATATCTTTTTCAACAGCAACATCTTCTGCATTTCCAAGCTTTAGGTTTGGTTCTAATGGGGTACTAGCAGGTTTGCAAGCTGCCTTGCCAGTTTCCTTGAGCAAATCAGTGATGTATTTCTGCTGGGATATAAATATCCCTTTCTTGGAGTGGGCAACTTCAATTCCCAAAAAATATTTTAGTTTTCCCAAAGTCTTGATCTCAAATTCCTTGCCTAAGCATTGGCTCAACAATTGCTGTTCTTCTTTATTATCTTCAGTTAATATTATGTCATCCACATACACCAATAATATTGTTACTCCCCCTGACTTGGAATGTTTAAAGAACAAAGTATGGTCCCAGTAAAGAGAGTGAAAAGAAGATTTCTAATTTAGTGGGATGCATTACTCCACTCTATGATCTCATATATATATAGGATTACAACATTTAAAACAACAACCACCAACTACTAACAACCACCAACCACCAACTACTAACTACTAACCACTAACCACTAACCAATAATTCTAACACTCCCCCTCAAGCTGGAGCATACAAATTGTATGTGCCAAGCTTGGAACAAATAAATTCAATTCGAGGTCCTCTTAAAGACTTTGTCAACACATTTGCAAGTTGATCATTGGACCCGACAAATTCAGTGCAAATTTCTTTAGACAACAATTTTTCACGAATAAAATGACAATCAAGTTCTATATGTTTGGTCCTTTCATGGAACACCAGATTAGAGACAATGTGGAGAGCTGCTTGATTGTCACAATACATCTTCATCTATTGGTTCTCACAAAATTTCAGTTCTTGAAGGAATTGTTTTACCCACACCACACTAGTTCACAAGTGAGAGATGCCATTGCTCTATATTCAGCTTCAGCACTAGACCGGACCACTACATTTTGTTTCTTACTTTTCCAAGAAATAATATTGCCTCCAATGAGAACACAATATCCTGTAGTGGAGCGTCTGTCCATAGGGGATCCAGCCCAATCAGCATCACAATACCCAAATATTTGGGTACCCCCTTTATCTTCATACAACAGACCTTGTCCTGGAGCTTTTTTGAGATATTTTAGGATGTGAATGACAGCATTCCAATGATCAGTATGCGGATTTTGCATAAATTGACTCACAACTCCAACGGCAAAAGATAGGTCAGGTCTGGTAATGGTGAGATAAATGAGTTTCCCAACAAGTCTTCTATATCTCTTAGGATCAGAGAGCGGTTCACCTTGATCTGCCATTAATTTATGATTTGGATCCATAGGGCTGTTTACTGGTTTACAATCAATCATGCCTGTTTCTTTCAGGATATCTAAAACATACTTTCTTTGGGAGACTACGATGCCTTCTTTTGATTGAGTCACTTCAATCCCTAGAAAGTATTTGAGACAACCAAAATCCTTAGTTTGGAAGTGATTACATAAATGTTTCTTTAGCAAATAAATTTTATCAACATCATCCCCTGTAATGACTATATCATCTACATATACAATTAACTAAACACATTTTCCTGAAGCAATATAATAAGAAACAGAATGATCTGCTTCACTTCGTTTTAATCCAAAACTTTGAACAATGTGACTAAACTTTCCAAACCAAGCACGTGGAGATTGTTTGAGACCATAGAGATAACGATGTAACTTACAAACCAAACTAGACTCCCTCTGAGCAACAAAACCATGAGGTTGCTCCATATAAATTTCCTCCTCAAGATCACCATGCAAGGTTGATCTAATGACATTGTTTACCAGTGATAGTCCCCATATATAGGGAGAAAGGTTGAGAGGGTTTATAGAGTTGAAGCGGATAGGAGTTGCGGGTATGTTTGGATAATTGACATATTTCACATTGAAACAAATTTTTTATTAAATAATGTGGGAAACATTCTTTTTAAGTACATAAAATTTGGGTGGCCTAGCCGATAATGCCACATCACAAAATTTTTACTATTTTGAGGTACCATTGCACAAGAATTGGTCTTGGGTTGCGCTTCTGACGCTTCAGCTTGGAGGTAGTAGAGTCCATCACATTCTTTAGCATTGCCAATAGTCTCCCCCATCTCCAAAATGTGAAATTCACATAAGTTAAGGAAGAATTTAGTGACACACTTTAAATCTCTTGTCAATTTTTCTAATGGATAGCAAATTATAGTCAAGTTTAGGCACATAAAGGAATAATTTTAGGATAATATTTTGTGAGATAATAATTGAACTTTTACCCATGACTTTAGAAAGAGTCCCATAAGCTATCCGAACTATGTAATTATTTAGACATGGAGAATAGCTTTTAAACACAATTAAGTCTTCAGTCATGTGATTTGAGGCTCCTGAATCAATGATCCATGACTTTGATTTTCCTGTGCTAGTATTTAGAGCATGCAAAAAAATTACCTTTTTGTGCTACTGAAGCTGTACTAATTGTTTGTTGGAAAATTTTTTGTAGTGCTTCCATTTGTTCCTTGTTGAATGGAGATGGATTAGAATTTACCTCCGTTAGCCTCTCTTGTCCAAGTTTTTGGTCTGTTTCGCCTCTTAAGGCTTGCCATGAATGATCTAGCATGTGTCCTTAGTATACCCCAATTTCTTGCAGTGATCGTACCAAGGCCGATTTTTCTTTTTAAATGGATGAGGCTGGTTCTCCCTTGCTCTGCCATTGCTGAGCCTTTAATGGGTGGGGTTGCACTTGATTTTCCAAGCATCACTTCGTGCTCTCCTCCCTTCTCACTTCCAAACAATACTTCTTGGATTGTTTTAAGAGGTTTGATTCAAGGATTCTCCCTTAGACTTCATCAAGTTCTGTGTTCAGCCCCAATAGAAACTTGTAGATCTTATCTTTCTCCACCAATTCTTTATACTTCTTCTTATCCTCGGTATAGCTTCATTCAATGTCTCATATATGTCTAGTTGCTGCCAATGTCGGATGACTGTATTAAAATACTTAGTGATTGAGAAATTACCTTGTCACAAGTCATGAAGTAGGCTCTTGATCTCAAATACCACAAACGTTTTGTCCACATTTGAGTAGGTTTCCTTTATTGTATCTCACATCTTCTTGGTCGTGTCATAGTATATAAAATTTTCCCCAATTTCATTATTCATGGTGTTGAGCAACCATGACATGATTAAACTATTTTCTAGTTGTCATTTGTTGAGGTTAGGGTCACCCTCTTTTGGACTCTTAATCTCAAATACCGCAAACGTATTGTCCATGTTTCAGTAGGTTTCCTTCACTATATCCCACATCTCCTTGGTAGTGTCATAGTACATGAAATTTTTCCAATTTCATTAGTCATGGTATTGAGCAATCATGACATGACTAAACTGTTTTCTAGTTGTCATTTGTTGAGGTTATAGTCACCCTCTTTTGGACTCTTGGAGTCTCCTGTGATGTAACCTTCCTTCCCTTTTCCTTGAAGAAAGATCTTAACTGATTGCACCCATTGGGGGTAATTCTGACCATTCAATTTGTGACTTGGGATAGGAAGAGCAGGCCTTTCGACCAAACTAGTAGCCGAACCTTCTGCCTTATTTTTTCCCATGGTTGGTGGCGCTAGATTAGGGATTGTTCAAATCGAGCTCCTTTACCATGCGGAAAATACGTTGTGTATTTCTTATTTTGAAAAAATACAAAGGAGATATAAATATAATACTAGAGAATAAATCATTATACTAATATATCCCTGAAAATCAGGGAAATATTCTCCTTATAAATGTTGTACATAAATAAAGAAATAAAACTGATCATATTAGCATTAAATCCTATTATAGACAATACAAATCAGAATTGAATGATTCTAATTGATATGCACTTATATCCAACACCGAGCAGTTACATTTTTGATAAACTTATTTACAATGGTTTGCTTTATGCATGGAATACTACGTGTAGTAATCCATTTCGTCCTTTGAGGAGCCTCCATCCTGCGCCAAGAATCATATATAGTCTGGATTGGCTGTCAAAGCCAAGGTAATACATTATTTTAACTGGATCAAATGGTGTCTAAATTGTCAATATGATGAACCCAGAGTGATTTTCTTAGTACTCTTTCTAGTTGCGTCATTATGTCCTTTGAGGATGGAACAATGAGAACCGTTAGCTTGGCGAAGGCTGCAAATGACCTCCCTGTTACTGGAGAAATATATAGTGGAAAAAAGCAACCTGGGTTGCACGGTTCTTTATATGCATCTTTTGCCATTTGGAGCGTTCAAGTGTCACGTATAACGGGTACGTTTTTTTGGTTTGCATTACTATAGACATTATGATTATATAAGGTTATTGCTAGAAACATTTTACTTTAGGCATTAAGAACTTTTGTACTATTAGTATTTCTAGGAAAAACAAACTATAAAGTAACAAACTATCTAATCTTGATCTTACTCTATAAAGTAACTGTTAGTATTTCTAGGAAAACAAACTATCCAGTAATATGACAAATTTGTCATTTTTAGTTTCTTAATATCATCAGAGGGCACTTAAACAGTTCATTATCATAACTACAATTTACTTGAATTGATTTATTTGCTTTCTTAATGTTAGGTATGCTTGCTTATTGTGGTGCAGAAGGTACTGTCTTTCGTTTTCAGGTAATTCTTATATTCTGTTGGCGATGTCACTTGCAATTACCTGCACTGCCTTTTTTTTTTTTTTTACTCAATAGCTTTTGTGACCAATAGTAAAGAATTTGCAGTCCCCACTCTTTATAATGAAGTTGAACTTCATTATCAGCCAAAATTGCTTTTGCATTTGCGCCTCCGCTTTGTAACTTCAGCATATAAGAGAGATGATCCTGCACACACTCCGCCCATAATTCATGTAAATTTTAGTAGCTATTCTTTCCTAAATAGCTAAGGACTGAAAAGGTTTGTAGCCCTTTATGGAACTAATGACCCAATTTTATTGGCATATATATTGGACCAGAGGTTGTCGTATATCTTTGATTGAGATTAGGAGTGCAAGACCTATTATACAGTTTTAAATGGTATGAACCCATGATGAATTTGTGTAATCTAGAAAACCTAAAATGTGTGATATTGGTGAAAAATGTCTACTGCTGAATAGGCTACATGAATTTTGGGTAGATTATACTTTTACTCAGGTAGTTTTTTCACTCTTTCTCAAAGTACCCCCCTATAGTTCTACTCATTTTTTCGTGTCAACTGTTACTAAATAGAAGGGATGTGGGTATAGCTGAATAGGGCTTAGTGATACAAAAATAAAGGGGTTGGCATTTGGCACATTGAACAGTAGAGGGATATTGTTATTTACCCTAAATTTTAAAATTAAAATGACTTGAATACAAAATAAGTGATCATAAGAGGTAATGTCAGAGTACATCAATGACTGATGGACAACATCACCTCGAAACTATGTTTTCCATGAGGAACAAATATTTGAGGATTTGATATTCTATCACTGAAAAATACACAATGTTGACCGTACATCTCAAATTTGAAAATAAACTTTTGCAAAACTGTAACCCCAATACTTGATTAATGCTTTGTACATGAGTTTTCTCCAACCTCTTCCCACAAATAAAAATAATCCTGAGCTTTGTTTGATATACTCAGCTAACTACTAAATCAGTGGAGATAGATCATGCACGCAATCGATCCAGACGCTTCCTTTGTGGGTCAATAACTGAGGAGAATTCAACTCTCGTTATCAACACTCCCGTATCAAATGTTCCTTTTCAGTGGAAGAAGCTACCTGACAAGGGTCGGTGTGCTGAATCTTTCCGAGACCTATTATCCAAGACAAATCCATACAAAAATGCACTTAATCAAGTGGCAGAATCTTCAAATTTTGATTCTCATACTTCAGGTCAGCCTTGCTAACAATAATATGAAACGAATATGATTAATTGTCACAGTTTCTCTGAGTATTCTTATTAACTATTAAATTTTTGCAGCCATTGGTGCTGGTGAGCAAGTGGAATTGTTGGAATATGGACCGGAGGAAGCTTTATGCTCTGTGAAGCAGCCCAAAAGACCAAAATTGAACAGTGCCAGCAAGAAAAAACCAAAAGAAAGCGTAGCTGTGGGTTGCAGGGATGATGATGAGCCACCAATTATTCCCGAGGCTGATAATGAAAAGTCCAATGTTGGGAATATACCTGAAACCTTCCCTCCCAAAATGGCAGCGTTACACAGAGTGAGATGGAACATGAACAACGGTAGTGAAAGATGGTTGTGCTTTGCAGGAGCTTCTGGACTCGTACGTTGTCAAGAAATTGTTTACTCTGATTTTGATAAGAAATGGGCCTTGAAGATATGACACAAACCCACTTAAGTTGGGTGTGGTAAATTTGCTTAATGTAAATATCATATTTAGGTGTAGATTAACCCCACCAGAAAAAATCGTAGTAAAAAGTGACGAGTCAATATGTAACATCTTTTATTCATTGTAGAAGTGCTGGTAAAGAAACCGGCTTTCCATAGCAGCTCCACCCAATTGTGTAAAACGCACTATATAATTTGGAATATTTAATATTTAGGATTTTTTATTTAATTTAAGATTTTAATATGATTATTTTAATTTTAAATTTTAGTGTATTTTGTAACATCCTACTACAGCTACATATTACCAATAATATAATTGGCGTTAATAATTGCACCAATACAAAAAAACACATAATATATAATTTCCCCGCATAGGAAGTCTCAAAATACAAAATAAAAGTATAACATAAACTAAATCTTCCTTCCCAAGCTCCATATCTCAAAATTGACAAACATGATTTGTTCTAGTCAGCCAGTGATTCCACCAGTACAAAGAAATATATAGTATATATGTTTCCCAAATAGGAAGTCCCAAAAATACAAGATAATGCAATTAAAATTTTCTCCCGAAGCCTCATTTTCTCAAATTGCACATGATTTGTTCTTTTACATTAACACGGTCATAATAGTTGAAAAATAACATTTAAAACAATACAAAAATACAAACTAAGTTATAGTAATATAAAAGATTGAACCATCAATATTTTATCTTTCATACATAAACTAAATCAATATATATATAATTCAATCATATGATAAGTATTTAAAGAATTAATTGAAATTTTCTTAATCGCATCTCATATCATTATTATATATTGACATTTATATTTGTAAAACTTGACTCTCCTTCTAAAAAATATATATGCATTGAATTGGATTTAAACATCTGTCCAGTCATACTACTTTTCCTAGGTGGTTGTCTTTAACATTTTTTATGTGACAAGATTCTCTTTCAAACTATAATCTATTCAAAATCTCAAGTTCAATATACCATTTATATCTTAACATAGTACTTCTCCTTGGGAACTACTATATTTACTTCCACAACACATCACATGTACAAGAATACATCTTCACTACATAAATCAGTTCTAGTTAATTCACATATATCATCTTTTTCCATTCAAATATACATGAATACATATTCAACATAACCCTTCTCATTCTATTTACCTATATCTATACATAGAAATCATAGTATACAACAACTAAACTTATACATTAGGGTACGAGATTTCGATTGAGGGACTCCATCTAGCTTGAGAAATACTTCTCTCAAATTTTCTCTTTTCTTTTGGAGTGTTTTTGCTTGAGCGAGATATTGTTACTTGAACAAAATCTCTCTTCACTTTAGCAATTAGTATCTCATTTAAGTGATAATACTACAAAATCACACTACACTACTCTAGAACATTTTTACTTGAACAAAAACGTACCAGAAACACTACTACTTTCAATAAAAATATGTTATAATAGGCTTAACCTAAATAATTTTCTTTAAGAGGGAGTACATGTGTCAATCAAATTACAATCCAATACAACTAACACATGACATTGATATTACATCAAACAATTCGGTATTAACAAAACTTTTAGACAATCTTACACACCTTATAGTTTGGGTTTAGGGTTGACCTTTATAGTTCAAGTCATCTATCCTAAGGTGGTAAAGAACTTAAAACTAGTTCCTTACCTTAGAATTAAATTCCTTTAAGAGAGAAATTTCTCTAACTCATAAGATCTCTAAACTTGCTCATAAAAGACTCAATTTAGCATATCAAACACACCACCCAACTCTAATTTAGTCAAGATTCATCTTTGCTAGAATTTGGCCACATGCAAGTAGTAGGGTACATGCAATACCCACACCCACATATAAATCACCCTAGAAAAGGAGCAAGGAGAAACTTACTCAAATAAAGATTTCAATTGGGTAGAAACCTTCCTTTCTTTTCCAAGAGCATTATGGTGTGTTTGGATCTAGAAAAAATGAAAAATGGGTGAGGGATCTTAAGAGAAGTTAGAATTTTAAAAGATAGAGATAAGGGTTCTATAGAAATGAAGTTTGAATACATAAAGTTTTCTATTTAAACATTTTTTTAACTAATGGGTAAAATTTTTAATTTTACTCTATTTAACCATGATCACTCCTAGACTACTAAAATTTTGGTCCTTACATTCTCCCAAAAAAGAAAATATTTTGTCTTCAAACATTTTAGTTACCAAGAAAAAGATAAGGATATGTTTTCCTCATGTCCTCCTCCAATTCCCAAGTTGAGTAACCTAACCTAACACCCCATAACATTTTAACCATGTCAATTTTCCCATTATGAGTTATTCCATTGGGTGATCCTCAACCCTAACTAGGATAGTCTCAACAAACAAATTCTCTTTGACTTTTAGTCATTTATTTCTTATATATGGCTTAAGTTTGGAACATACATCCTCATTTGTGACACATGAAAGACATTATGAAGATTCACTAGCTAAGGAGGCAAAGTAATCTCACAAGCTATTGTCCAATCCATCTAAGAATATGATATCATCCAATAAACTTATGAGACAATTTTTTAAACCTAATGACTCTTCCAACACCTATAGTAGGTGTAACTCTAAAAAATTCATGGTCCCTAGCTTTAAACTCCAAAGATGGTTTCCTATGATTTGCATGACTTATGTTTACTCTATGAAGCTCTCATCTTATCCTTTATCTGGTGGACCTTCTCAGTTGTCTTTTAAAGTAGCTCAGGCTCTATCAACATAACTTCTCCATCCTAATACCAAGAAAGAGGTGTCTTGTACTTCCTATCATATAAATCTTCATAAGGCATCATTCTAATGCTAGCATGGAAGCTATGATTGTAAGTAAACTCAACCAAAGGTAGGAGCGCATTCTAACTCCCTAATTGATCCAAAACACTAGTCCTTAACAAGTCTTCCAAGTACGGTATCTTTTGAAATGTTTTCCAAAACCTGCTTGTGAACCTTGGATCCTTATTAGACACAATACTGAAAGGAATTCCATGGAATTTCACTATCCATCTAATATACAATTGGGGCAACTTATCCATGAAGATCTTCAAACTCATAGGTAGGAAATGTGCACTCTTAATTAATCAATCTACTATAACTCAAATAAAATTGTGCCCCATGAATGACTATGGAAGATGGGTTACAAAATCCATAATAACGCTATCTCACTTCCACTTAGGCACCTCTAATTACTATAACATTCCCCTTGGCCTCTAATGTTCCACCTTAGCCTTCTAACATTTCAAAAAATCTAAGTTACTTCCCTTTTCATGTTGGGTCACTAGAATGACTCCTTTAGGTTTTGATACATCATAGTCATGTTTAGGTGTAGACTAAGTCAATTCTTATGACCCTCTTCCAACATCATCCTTTTTAGTTCCTTATCTACAAACACACACACCCTAATCCAAAATATCAATACTCCATCTGACCTCAAAGTAAAATCTCTAACTTCAGACTAGTATCTAATAGTTGCTTCACCTTTAGCACTAGGAAATCATTAGTTATATTCATATGATTACAACTTATGAAATCAGTTGACAACTTTACTCCCAAGTTCTTATCTTGAATTTCTCAATTAATTCTAACTTTTTCACAATGATAGCCAAAACTTGAACTATCTTCCTACTCAAGGAATATGCTAGAACATTTAGTGGTACATCAATTCAAAATCATAATCATTTTATAACTTTTTCCATCTTATCTGCCTCATGGTTTAGTTCCCTTTGATCAAACAAATATTTGAGGCTCTTGTGATTACTAAAGACAATAGCAATACTTTGTATAGTTAGTGCCTCAAAAATTTTAAGGCAAATACCACTTTTGTCAACTCTAAGTCTTAAGTAGAGTAATTCTTCTCATGAACCTTGAGTTGCCTTGAAGCATATGTGATATGGAAACATGCAATTTAAGTAGAGAAATTAAAAGAGACAAGTGAAAACATAAAGAGGAAGCTAAACAATTATGCAATTAAAGGAAGAAATTGATAAAATGGAAGAGAAGAGAAAAAGAAAACTTATGGAAGGTGTTCACGCCACTTGCTTCATAACAAGATAAGATCACAAAATTTCAACTAAGAGATAATCTCTATCTCAAGAGTTTGCAAATGCAAAAACTAATTCTCATTCAATTTCAAGTGTGAGCATACAAGAGGAGTAGGAACTTTATTTATACGCTTGGGAGCACAAGTAGTGTGGGACTTTGGAGCAACCAAGGGAGAAGTCCCACATCTCCCCACTACTTGTTCTCCTAAGTGTTTATAAGCCCAAAAAAAAAAAACTAAGACAACAAAAACTAATCTAAGGTGAACTAAAACAAGCTAAAACATGTAAATGGGCCAAGAATATAAGCCTAAAATCCTATACTACCCTTTTTAGGAGAAGGAGTAAAGAAGCAAGGAGATGTCTTGTTCATGCTTCGTGTTACCCTTCTATTTTCTTCTTTTTGTGCTCCATCGATGATCACATCATCCCCTCGGGATGGAGAGGATTCGAACACGGATTGGGAAGACCTGCAAAAGGAGAAAGATCAGTCATATCATAGGAAGTACTCACATTATAAGAATCAGACAAATCAATCTCATATGCATTGTCATTTATTTTGCGAAGGACTTGAAAGGGACCATCTCCTCTTGGATTGAGTTTGGATTTCCTTTGGGAAGGAAATCTATCCTTCCTTAGGTGAACCCATGCCCAATCACCAGGAGAAAATGTGACTTTCTTCCTATATTTATTTGCATGAGAAGCATATTTTTCATTTTTCTTTTCTATTTTGGTTTTGACTCGACTATGCAAATGTTTAATAAATTGGGCTTTAGAAACACCATCCATGAACATAAAGTCAAAGTCAGGAAGGGGGAGGATGTCCAATGGAGTGAGGGGGATGAAACCATAAACAATATGAAATGGGGAATATGATGAAGAGGAGTTAACTACCCTATTATATGAAAACTCAACATGGGGTAATAACTCCTCCTACTGCCTAGGGTTGCGCTCAATACAACATCGTAATAACTAACCTAAAGTTCTTTTTGTAACTTCTGTCTGACCATCAATTTGTGGATGACAAGTACTAGAGAATACAAGTTTAGTGCCAAGCTTATTCCATAAAGATCTCCCTAAGGAACATAGAATCTCTATCAGACACTATAGTTTTGGGTAACCCATGCAAGCGGAGAACCTTTCTAAAGAATAAGTTAGCAATGTTTACAACATCATCTACTTTGTGGCAAGGTATAAAATGAGCCATTTTAGAAAATCGGTCCACTACCACAAAAATAAAATCCATCCCTCTTTTGGTCCTAGGTAAACCCAAAATAAAATCCATAGAGATGTCAACCCAAGGTGAACTAGGGATTGGAAGAGGGGTGTATAAGCCATGAGGATGGGTGGTAGACTTAGCATGTTGGCAAGGGATGCATTGACTACAAAACTTAGCTACATGTTTATGCATGTGAGGCCAAAATAAATGTTCATGTAGTATGTCTAAAGTCTTTGCTACCCCAAAATGACCCATTAAACCACCCTCATGTGCTTCTTTGATGAAAAGAAATCTTAAGGATCCTTGGGTACACATAGACATTTATTTTTGAAAAGGAAACCATTATTTAAGAAAAAATCCTTGTGTAGCCCATGGGAACATAAGTTAAAAATGGAGGAGAAATCACTATCATCTTGGTATAACTCCTTGATGTTATCAAACCCAAGAAACTTAGTTTCCAAAGTAGTCAAAAGAGTATGTCTTCTAGATAGGGCGTTGGCCACTATGTTTGAAGCATCTTGCTTGTGTTTGATAACATGAGGAAATTGTTCTAAGAACTCCACCCACTTGGCATGTCTTTTATTAAGTTTGATTTGACCTTTCAAATGTTTTAAAGTTTCATGATCACTATGGATCACAAATTCTTTTGAAATCAAGTAATATTGCCAAGTATGCAAAGCTCGAATAAGAACATAAAGCTCTTTATCATAGGTGGAATAATTTAAGTGACTTCCTTTCAATTTCTCACTAAAGTAAGCTATGATATGCCCTTCTTAAAGAAGAACAACCCCAATGCCTACATTAGAAGCATCACACTCAACTTCAAATGATTTAGAAAACTAGCTTTTCTAGCATGGGAATAATAATGAAACAAACGAAATTATAAAAAACAAGGAAATTCAATAATAAAAGGAAAAATATATCTAGATTAATAGTAATGTTAAAAGTTTTTCTTTTTTTTTCTTA